AAAATGATAATAGAAACAGAAAAAGCTCAAATGGCTTTGTAACATTGTAAGGGTGGTTCCCCTCTTATTCTTTATTATTTTCAATTTTGTTTGACCGCAAATACACTCAATTAATTGAGTATGGCAACGAGCATTGGGGTCAACAAAATTTTCTGAATGAAAAACGACCTTATGGTCGTTAAACACAGTACTTAGTCCGGAATAAGCTTTACAACTATCACTGTGGATAATACTATTCTTATCCACGTGTTCAAGTAGGAGAGGAGGCAGAGAATCACGATCTCTCTTTTCCACAACAAACATTTTAACCTTCCTGAATCGCTCTTCAGCCATGCCAAAAACCCATGGTCTATTAACACGTTCACTATAATTATTTTTACAGCGAGCATCATCAAAACTCTCCATAAAATCATCAAGAACCAATCTGTTACGGTTGTACTTTCAACAACCTCTAAACAGAGATTCGTCGATCTGTACAACTTTGCCTTCTCCTCCTAGTTTTCCACTCATGATATAATCACGAGTTTCCAACCTTACAAAGTTTATTCAATTGAAAACGGCTTCTTTTCCTTTAATTTAGTTACAGACATGATGTATTTTACCGCCCTACCCTCAAAATATAGGAAGATCAGCTTTATCAATGATTAGACAGGTGTAGAAAGTCGTATTCTCCCTTCTTCATTCGAAGAGCATATATTCTCTTCGACACGACTTGCATCGGAGAAAGAAGTGCACCTGGTCGACTCTCTTTCTTGACCTTACAGAAAGTCTGTTGCTGCCGCAAAACTTACAAAGCTTTTCACCATGGGTTTTAGGCAGCCACTTTCCTCCAGGAAGGTCAAAAAAGATTCTTCCTTTCCAAAAATCCGCAGCAATATTTCATAAATCATAAAGGTTATATATTTTAAAAATTTTATTAGAATTTTTATAATATAAAATTTAGGGCGTCAATCTGATCATGAAGCGCTAATCGAAACAATACCCTTATATATTCTACTAACCTCTAAAAATTGTTTTCTAGTCTCTT